CCTAACAGGATTACAAACTACAAATGGAGGAGGATCATGGTTTCGAGAAGTTATTGATGACCTTTTGGTTTAATCTTGTCTTCTATTTTGTACTCTAAGAGACTAAAACTGTAAGTTATCAACCATTTTGTGTTTAATAGTTTGTTCATGTGTTTCATTTTGCACTATAAAGTATTTAGACTTTTAGTTTTCATTTGGTACATATTTGCAGTTTGGCTTCAATACTTCGGGTTTGATTTCGGTAATTCTGGTATTTAACCGAACCATTTCTCTTATGGTTTCCTAACTGTTTAACCGAACCAAACCATACCAAAAAAATTCGGTTTTCATATGGATCATGTCTTAGTATAACCAAGAAATCGAAGAACCGAACGGGAACTGAACCAAAGAACCGAATGCCCACCCCTATGTAGTATGTATCAACCAAAAGCAGAACAACATTAAACTGAAAAGTAGATATAGGCTAATTAGATTTCACAAAGCTACAATTTTTTCTTTAAAATTACTAGCTACTTATCTTAGCGGAATTTGAACCCAAACATGTTGCTTATCTTCGTCGCCGGAAGAAGCAAAAAGGTCCAACTCCGGCAGGCGATTCGAGGATAGAGGGTCGAGCTGAGCATTACGGTGCGTGATAAGGAGTTTACTAAAACAATTTGTGAATACCAATCACTTGTATTGGATAGAATTAGTTTGGTTTATTTGGATTCAACACCCATTTTCACAATCACATGTTTGCTTAACTTATTGTATTGTCAAATACACACAAATTCTAACAATTTAAAAACTCTTCCAATAACCTATACATATTTTCCGAACACATCCAATCCTACAAATATATATTCTTCCAATTCATTACCACAAACATAAGACACAGTTCCAGCTTATAAAAAACAACCAGCTTTCTAACAGATCCATTTGGTACAAGTTATAATCTGAGAGGGACAAACTGATTTTGTTGGGACAAGTGAGACAGATAAAACAATCTTAAGAGCTAATAACATAAGCTCTCTGCTATGTACATCACAAATTACCTCTGACTGCTGAGGCTGGAAAGATTGGACTCGGGATCTTCTGCAGGCGATGTGGCCGTTTTGACAGCGGGTGAGAGGACCTTAGGCTTCTCTGGTTCCGCAACTAGGTGAAGGGAGTTCTTAGTGTCTATTGTCTGTCCCCATGGCTGATCTGTTGGTTGACAAGCATAAGGTGAGTAGTTGGTGGAGGAAGAAGACATTGATGGAGCTGACCAATTCCATGAAGCGGATGAGACTACAAGGGAAGATGCATCGACCAGAACAGGAGCAAAAGTGCCAATCCCCAAAGTATATGGTGAGAAATCAGGCAAAGGTAGGTTTTTGTTTAGGTATAGGACCACTTGCTCCATTGTAGGTCTGGATTCTGGCACAATGTTTGAACAGAGCAAACCGAGTTTCATAACCATCTCGACTTCCTCGGGTATGTATTCACCTCCCAATTTGGGGTCGGTAGCATCAAGCAAAGAATCCTTTTTCCAGCACTCGCAAACCCATTTGATCATGTGACGTTTCTCAACTTGCAACTGCGGTTCCACAGGTCGCCTCCCACAGGTTACTTCAAGCATGAAAACACCAAAGGCGTAAACATCAGTTCCAGTGGAAGCTCCCATTGTGATTAGCTCAGGCGCCATGTACCCTACAGTTCCCACAGCTGCTGTTGTGGCTGCATTGCCTCCGTGGTCATGAAATCTGGCCATACCAAAATCCCCTAACCTTCCATTGAACTCGGCGTCCAACATAATGTTGGAAGCTTTGACATCTCGGTGCAGAACAACTTGGTCAGCACCTGTATGCAGGTAGCAGAGAGCAGATGCTATTCCCTTCACAACCACGAGTCTTTGTGGCCAAGAAAGTACCGGTTTCTGGTCATCGAACAAATGCTCGTCAAGACTACCATTGGGCATGTACTCTGAGACCAGAAGAAGCTCTCGTTTTCTTCTGCAATACCCGAAAAATGGAACAAGATTCCTGTGTTTCAGACAACTCATGCTCACGACTTCAGCCACAAATTGCTTCACACCTTCATCACCATTATGGGAAACTCTCTTCACTGCTACTTCTCTGCCTTGTGGGAGATCTCCTCTATAGACTTCACCAAAACCTCCTTTTCCGAGGAATTCATCTTTGCTGAATCCCTTGGTTGCTTTGTACAGGGACTTGTAAGAGAACCGATGTGCATCAAACTCTTTTTCCCATTTTTCAGATACTTCTGAATACTTCTTCCTCCTGCGGAAATAAAGTCCTGTAAGAACACCCAACACCACAACAGCCAGAACAACGGGCAGGATAAAAACTAGCGGAGATAGTTTCTTATGCGGAGCTTTAGGATGAGGAACTTGGGGAAGTTTTGCGATGTCAAGTCGCTGCAGTGATCCTCTGTTTGTGCTAAAACTCCACCAAAGTATATACTGATCACTGATAGCTGTCCCTGTTGCTGCAGAGAACCCAACGAAAAGTCTTGATCTATTGGGGAAAATTTCTGAAATATTAATGGGATGTGACAATAGAGGCCGACTTGGCTTCTGGACTTCAAGAGGAGCAATTGAAACATTAAGCATAGTGCCTTCATAATCCACCCAGACCTGTATAGGTTTTCCGCTCAAGAGGTCCATGCTTTCGTACTTGGCCTTTATGTTGGAATAATAAGACGCAGAAGCTATAGCAACAGATAGAGGACTGTTCACATCAATCCCTACATGATTGTTGTTGATATCTTTGAAATCTGGGTTCCAAATGGTATCAAGCTCAACAGCAAGAACACGAGAAGAGGAAGATTCATTTGTTGATGCGTTGAAAACCCCCAAGTATCTAGTCGTTTCTGCGTGTGAGAAATCCATAGAAGGAGATACTACAAAGACAATACCATGGCCACCTTCAACACCTGGCTTAGGCACCATAGCACAAACGAAATGTGTTGAGAAGGAGAGTGATCCAGAGGAACTGAAATCAATTGGTTTCTTGTAGAAAGCATGACCCATTTGATGCTCTGAAGCAGTCGTCAGCTGCAATAATCCACTGGGAAGTACTTTTGCAGATTTATCAAGATAAAGGTTGGTAAAGTTTTCATAGACAAACCTTGTCTCTTGTTGATTTGACAGAGAAAATAGATGGAGAGAAGAGATTATCAGGATCTGAAGCAGCCAACGAGCCATTGCTGATGATGAATCAGAGAGTCTGGATCGGATGTGCAGATCTTCTCTCACCTCAAAACGATACATATCATATACCTTGCAAGCT